CGTGGTGCATGGACTAACTAAACGAAAGGTGTCATACTGTAAAGCAAATATGATCATTCTCATGGCTTTAATATTACACATTAACTTGTCCTTTTCATCTTGAGGAATCTTGTCTACATCAGTTACGAGTCTATTGTACTCCTTTTTAGTCTTAATGGTTCTATTTGTTCCGTAATGAACAAAAGGACCCAATGTTATCGCTTCCCAGATTAGATTACCATCATCTTCAAATCCAACCACATAGTCTTCAAAGTGATGCGTCCAAACTTCATAATCTTGAGTATATAGGATTAGAATCTTGGTTGTAGATCCAGAGTTGTTGGATATATTGATCGAATTGGTTTGAGAATCATCATGAGACATGATGACCTTTTACAGATATCTGCAAGAATCAGACTTGTAAAGATTAAATTAGGGTTTTATCAAAAGCAAGAAATAACGTCAATGAAGATCTGACGGCTCCTACAGATTTGATAAAAGCGAAAACCCTAACCAGATTCTTCCAACAGAAGAGATGCATATGAATTACACAGTCTCCTGCTCTGATACCAATTGAAGAGAATTAAACTCTGTAAGATCGATAGATTCAAACAGATATGAATAATAATTAAGAAAAGACAATAAACACCACAATGAATCAAACGAATGTCGAATGATTAATATGCTCAACCTCAGAAGAATTCAAAGAGAATTGCTACTGTAGATGTGTGCTAGGGTTACAATACTTAATCTCCAAAATAATAATCAAAAGCGTAATTAATATAATGCATGCATGCACTATATATATATATATATATATATATATATATATATATATATATATATATATATATACAAACCCTAAAACTGAACACGACTGGACAGGCCCAAACCGTGAGTACAAATGGACCGAACTACCAAGGCCTAATGGTGCAATCACTTAGACTTAACATGAAGTGTTTAGCCGATCACATACTAAATTGATTTATCAATTAAGTAGTTTGAATTCAGTCGTCATAGATCGGGAAATCGAGAAACAGGATCGTGGACCATGAGATTGATTCTGGTCCATGTGTCATGTCCATACGATATCTTGAAGAACGAAAATTGGAGTTTGGCAGTGTCTTTGGAAAACACTCTTTGCTGGTTATTCAACGTTATACTTGTAGTTATAGTTAGCGACTTATCTAAGTGGGAGACTGTTGGATTAGAGTGTATAAGGTCCTAACTAAATTGGTATAATGTTGATGAATAATAGTAAAGTCTTTTTTGGGTTGCCCTTATAACAAGGAAATGGCTTGGATTGATAGAGAGAGAGAGAGAGAGAGAGAGAGAGAGAGAAAGAGAAAGAGATAAAATGATTTGTTAATATACTATGTAATTAATGTATTAGTTAGAAATTGTTAATTGATAATTTGTTAATTTTTTATATGAATAATAAATTAATTAGAAATAGTCAGAATTGATTAATTATTGATCAGAATTAATCTGGAACTAATTTGGGTTTAATTGGAGTTAATTAAAGGTGTGAGAGGATTTGTAATTATTTAATAGTTGAACAAAAGAGGCGATTCTAGAATAGTCCATAACATTGACGGTTTTGGTGCCTTTCTTAGGGTTTCCAGAAGCATCCTAGTTGCTGATAAGGAAATGATTTAGATTGGGATAAAATCTATTATTTAATCATTCAAATCTTGTTTTGTCCTCAAGCTACCTATACTATAAATAGGACCCATGAGCACCTAACTTTTGTGGCTCTTCCATACCTAAAGGTGGAGAATGAAAATTTGCTCGTCTTTCCTTTAACCTTAGGGTTTCTTGAGTTTTAGGTGTGAACCAGTAGAGGCTCGCATACTGTTGGAGCTAGGTTTTCCAAAGAGACAAGAAGATTTTGATTAACATGATTGGAGTCAACAAAAGGTATGTAACCCTTTTCTGAATTTTGATTTCTACTAGGGTTATAAGTTTTGTTGTTCAATAATATGTTGTTTCAATAGTATTATGACATAGATATATTAGGTTGCATGTACCCTTAAGAGTATAAGGGTTCTCCGCATTATTACATGTTAAATCCATCAGTGATATGGTTTGTACACTCGACAACTTTCTGGGAAAATTTTATATGTTTTTTGAATGATATTGTATAATACTTAGATAACTTCCTAGAAAAGAATATTAAAATGTAAGTAAAAGTTTTGGGTGTTACATTTTGCAAGTATATACGACCGTAAAGCTCTAAAATATACTCACAGAAAATACACATATTCTCGACCTGTCCTTTCAGACATTTTTCAAATACTTGTGGTTATGCCGTATGCCAATTATCGAAGTAAATTTGTGCTTTTTTGTATTGCAGTAAAACCACATTTACTTCTATCATCCCATTTCAATTGGAAAAAAAATGGTAATTATTTTTCAAATCTAGATATACGGACGAATGATTTTCTACTAATACAAAAACGTTCTTCGAATTTCTCTAGGTCGTATAAACTATTAAAGGCAAAGTACTCAGGTATTAAAA